AAGCATTCGGAGGAAACAACCATGTCTAATCCTCTAGCTACTAGCAGGATGCTTAATTGCCTGATCCCAACCTAATACTTGCTCTCCGACTGATTTTTGTTGCTAGCAAAGTACTACCCAGTGTCCAGTGTTGCCCCACTTCTTTGGCTGTGAGGGACTGCTTTATGTTGCATATTTCACTTGTTTCCTAAAGGTGTGGTTCTGAGGCACTCTAACCATAAATGCCTGTAGAGAGCAGACCTAAGTGCAGAGCTGCAACCTCAGCCCCCGAAAAAGCCTTAGAGCAAAGGCCATGGAAAAAGCAAGAGGGACGAAGTTACAAAATCTGTGAAACAGGAACAGCTGAATGTCAACTAAACTGAAACTACTTTTACTAAAGCCATAAACTTTTCTATTGATCTTAAAATTTACAAAATGTAAGGAGTCCAGTTTTATGAGTGATCTCTAATATTCACAGATGTGAACAGAGACCAATAAAATGAAGAAAAAAATATAACTGGATCAGGAGAATGGGCCAGGAGATGGCAAAGGTGTGCTATACAGGCAAGTGGAAACTAATTAGTGTGAGAGAAGAGAACAAAATCAGGAATAGAAGCTGAAGGGAAGTCATCCAGCACACCGATAAGGAAAGGATATAGAAGTTATTGGTAAAATTATTAACATGTATAACATGCTAAGTTGTGTTAGCAAGGAACTGAAATAAAAAATAAGAGTGAAGGCTACTGCTATATAACATGAAATGCTTGAATCTCATCTGAAATTTTGTGCAAAGTAAGTTGTCATTCTTTAGAAAGCCCATTATTACTATAAGGCTTCATCTTCTCCAATGAAGTCAAGGGGAGATTTGCTGCTGATTTCAACGAGAACACAATCAAGGCCTTAGAGAGGCTGCAGTGTGCAAGGCAACAAGTAAAACAAACGTCAGCTTTCAGAACAGGTGGCGAGTATTACTTTTTTCCTCATTGAAAAAGAGATTGACATTTACTACATTTTGAAAAACGGTTGCTAATGCGTATAAGCAGGGATGGAAATGGTTTCCTACATGAGTTTCTATATAGGACACAGACAAGGTGAAAACAAAAGAGAGAAACACAAGAAACTTGGCTTGCTCCAGGAGGGTAATAAATTAACTATTATAAGTAAACCAAGAACACCAGTAAGATCAACAAAACCTTCACCTTCAATCTGGGGAAGGCTGGAGCCTAGATTAGAGAAAAGGGCTCAGCTAATAAAAAATTATGTGGGGGAAATGGGGAGGGTTAGAATAAGCATGATTGGGTAAAAATCAGATGGCTTTTCCTAAAATAGATTATAATTAGTTGCATTTTGTTGTGTTAGACATGATGGAAAACCTTCAGCTGGTTTAAATCAGCATGGCACCACTGATGTCAGTATAGTTGCACCAATTCACACCACCATAGAATGTGACCCATATAAATCTAGGTTAGTCACTAAAACAGATCAAAGGCCCACCAAAATCTAGAGAGGTAAGGCATGAAACTTTCTGAAGGCAGCAAGCACACAAGGTGTGATGTGGCTAACATCTTGGCCAGCTGCCTTAGACTTTGCAGCCCAAACAACTATTTGATTGGTTTGTTGGTTTGATTGGTTGGTTGGTTGTGCAATTTATATGCTGCCCCTCCCAACAAAGGCTCAGGGAGGCTTACAGCAGAAAGAGGGAAGCAGAACGACTAAAAAGGGCAACTAGAATAAATAAAACAAAATAACAACACAACAAATAAAGCAGAGACCCACTAAACAACACTCCGCCTAATTTTGGTTGTTAAATACCTGCCTGAACAGAAAGGTCTTGTAGTGATTCCAAAAGATGTCCAGGCTTGGGCTCTGGTGAGCCTCAAGAGGGAGGGAGTTCAGAGCTGAGGGGCAGCTTCTGAGACTGCTCTGTATGTTTTCACTTAGAGGACTTGATATACTCATGGTAATTGCAGGAGATTGCTCTTGACTGACCCTGGGGATCGCAATAGGGCATAGAGAGAAAGGCAGACCTTTAGGTATGCAAGTCCCAGGCTATTAGGGCTTTATAGGTCAAAACTAGTACCCTGAATTGCACCCACAAAGCCCTTGCAGATGATGGAGGACTGGAGTTATATGCTCCTGGTGACCCAACCCCAACATAAGGCAGGCCAGCCACTGTGTTTTGCAACAGCTACAGTGTCCAATTCGTTTTTAAGGGCGTCCCCACACAGAGCACTTTAGAATAGTTCAGCCTTGAGATTACGAAGGCTGATGATTACGAAAGATGATGATGGCCAGATTAGAATTTCTAAGAAAGGGTCACAGCCTTCTCATCAGATGGAGTGAAAAGGTCTCTTAGCCAGAACAGCCACTGCTACATGAAGATCCAGGTGCAGCAAAGGAACCAGGAGCACTCCAAGGCTACAAACATGAATGACCAAGTTTCAGTTGGTTCACCCACATCCAGTCCTCAACTACAGCCAGGCACTGGGAAAGGACTGAGTCTGCAAGGCCAAGGTCAGAAGAGAAGAGAGGTAGAGTGGGTGTCATCATCACACTGGTGGCATCTCACTCTGAATCACCATACAATATTCCCCAGTGGCCTCACAGACACATTAAACATAAGTGCAGACAAGATGGTGCCCTAGAGGACCCCACAAAAAAGGTTCCAAGGGGATGACGAGTACTTGCCCATCAACACCCTAAGGGACCACTGTGCTAGGAAAGAACAGAACCAATTTAAGAGCTATTCGGCAAATAACCACCAGGTCATGTTAATGCTTGATCAATACTTTGTGGTCAACTATATCAAAAGCCACAGAAAGATCGAGTAAGATCAGCAATTTCCCTTGTCAATCTCCAGGCAAAGTTCATTGATCAAGGCCATAAGCAGAGTCTAGAGGCAGGTAATTTTTGCCTGCAGAGTTGGTGCAAATTCATTACAGTGGACTGAAGAAGACTTGATTTCTGGGCAGGGACAAGCTGGGTTAACCATGCCTTGGTTCCACTGAATGACATTTGGAAGATGCAATGGCAGTGGAGAAAAAAAGCTTCTTTGTTGCCACCATAGTTCTTGAAGAAAGATCCATACTACAATTGGCTGGCTTTGGCACGGGTTTCATAGACATTAGGGGCTGGAAAGGACCTCAAAAGATCATCCAGTCCAGCCCCACTGCTATAGACAGGAAGTCAGCTGGGATCAAGTGACCCAAGCAAGAAATAAATCCAGCTGTTTTGAGAGCCAACTGTGCTCCAGCCACCTACTCTCCAGCTGAAGCTGTCTTGGTTCCCCCTTGTACCAGGGGGACTGGACACCTGGGTGCCATGATGTCTATGGCTAGGGTCAGTGTGCTATACCACAGATCAGCCAGGCCATCAACAGAGTAGACATTAAGGTCAATGGGATTCCATGAGTCTCTGAGGGCAGACCAGTCTGGCTGGTCCATCACCCCAACAGGGGCAATGGAGAACAGTGATCTGTGCCTCTAGGAGGTAGTGGTCTGATAACTGAAAATGATCAATTTACAGTTGTTGTAACAGAGAGCCTCGGAGGGGGATCTCTGTTCCTTTAAGGGAAGAAGCAGCCTAGGCAAGGAGCACTGCAGGCCAGGCAGAGCACCAAAGCTGCAGGTCACCCAAGGCAACAGGCTAATGAAGCAATTAGCAGGCACCTGCCCACGGTCCACCAACCGGATGCAAGCAGAGCCCTGGGAGCTCATAAACCCAAGGCTGAGGCTGATTCAGGGGGGTTTCTTTTCCTGGCAGCCACAGGGAAAGAAGCTCCTACTCAGGAGAGCCACTCAGGGATGCTGGACCAACTGCTTTGTTGCCTACAGAAACAGAGAGGCTCAGAGAGCTCACAAGAAGACCAGGATGCTGTAATAGCGAGTGAAGGCTTACACTCTTAAAGGGACAGCAGGCTGTTATTCCTTTATGTTATGTTATAACCCAGGGGCTTATTTTTATATTGTGTTTAGACTGGAGGTTTGGAATGAGGCTGGAAGGGGAAGTCTGGAGGTGTCATTAGTGCCTGAGAAGCACATAACTGCCTGGAGCCCTGCTAGGGGCAGATAGTGCAAGGCATAGAGACAGGGGGCCAACAGCCCAGTGCCAGAGAAGGTACAGCCACAAGACAGGGGCCAGGGTCCCAGTGATGGAGGGGACAAATGAGGGCAAGTGCCTCAGATCCAGGTCCAATTCAGTGGGCCCAGGTTAGAAGGCCTAGCTGGATTAAAGGGGAGGAGGCCAAAGCCCCAACAGAGAGAACATCATCCTTGTAACACCTGTGAGGCATGGAGTGTGGTAAAGGGGAGGATTTGGAGCCATGCAGTTAGCCCTTAAGGCTTGGGTGCCCAGCTGGGCACAGTTGACTATAGAGGCCCAGCCAGGGGACTGGGGACGAGGACGGACCAGTAGGGTGCTGGAGACCCTACCAGGGGTTCAGTGAACCAGGGCTACACAAAGGTTTGTGGGCAGCCTCCCTATTTATCATTATTCTATCAAGGTGTAGCAGATAATACGGGAAGGTGCCCTAAGGGCGGAGCAGGGCATGGTCATGGAGCTACCAGGGGGCGTCACAGCCACCCCTAGGACCTTGACATGTTACAGTTATGTTTTCAGGGGACAGGACGGGATCATGACTTTGACAATGAGTCTGGAGTTAAGTCTGAGACTCATGCCTCTGAAATCATAACAAGACACCTTAATCGCTTGGGCATTGCATCACTCTAAGTCTGTTTATGGTCTCATTTATACTGAATGCACTTACTCAGTATCATTAGAAGGTGTTCAAAGGTGACATGAAACTTCAATCACTTTTCTCACAGGAAATTAGGTGAAAAAAATTACATAAAAATAAGAATACTCCCAAGTAATACAGCATTCCCTGTCTGTTTTGTATCAAGTTTTCCTGTTTTAACTTCAAAGTACAATAAATTGCATTTTACTAAAATCTCAAAAATTCTAAGGCTTAATCCAATAGTCTTTACTACAGCAGAACTGTGAGGACCTATGACCAAGTTTGGTAGATGCATCTAAACAGGCAATTAATGATTTCAAGAAGTACAAGGTCATGATTCACCTTCTAACTCAGAGGGAAAAGTTAGAGTACAAAACAACGAAGGTTTGTAATAAAGGTTAAATGACCTTACAGCACAAATTCTGGCTTTTCTGCAAGCTTCAGAGCCTCATGCATCCCTGCAGCTGACAGTTTCCGGTTGATATTTCTATATCTGCATTGAAGTAGATTGCGATAGGTTGTCCTCAGGTCCCGATTGAAGAAGGCATATATAAAAGGGTTAATAAGAGAATTTGCATAACCCAACCACAGAAATGTTCTCTCAACCCACAATGGGATGCAGCTGCATGCTGTACCACAGATAAAGGGTCTGGCAGTTGAAAGTATGAAAAATGGAAGCCAGCACACAGTAAATGCCCCCACAATAATTCCAAGAGTAGTGGCAGCCTTCTGTTCCCTTTTGAAGATGGAAATGTTTCTTCTATCGTGTTTAAGGAGTCGTGAAAAATTTGTGCATTCTTCAGATTCCTTGTGTAGTTTTACAACTCCATTCACAGAAATCCCTTCAGTTTCTTCTGGCCGTGGGAAGCCAGCAAACTTGTGTTTAGCAGCACTCCTCTTGGCAGCTTTATAAATCTGATAGTACATGAAAAGCATCACTGACATTGGGATATAAAATGCAACTGCAGTGGAGTAAATTGTATAGCCGAAGTCTTGACTGATTAAACAAACCTTTTCATCATTCACATTTTGGGCCCAACCAAAGAGGGGTGGGATAGTGATAGAGGCAGATAAGAGCCATACGCAGAGGATCATTTTAGCCATACACTTCCCATTCTGCCTTACAGGATATGTAAGAGGTCTTGTTATTCCAAGGTACCTAGAACAATAATGCAGAGTTACTACATGATACATTCGTTTATAAGTAAAACTATTTTATACAGTCTGCCATAAAGACATTAAACAAATGTGATATGGTTTATTTTATGTTCTCTCTCCTGTACTTTTCAAACTTTCAGCTAACTGACAATTTAATTTATGATCAATCTTTCTGAAAGCAGAAAACCTCCCATTGACTTCTGTGGGGCCAAGCTTTTACCTCAGACATAGAATCTCATAAGTGTTATAAAATATTCTGAAAGTTTAAGTGAAAAATGATATCTCTTGCAAAATTCAGTTTTCTTGGCTAACTTTTGGAATTCAAGTCGTGGTGCATGGTTCTCAGTTTACCCAAAGAAACATTAATGCTATAACTGTCTTTAATATTATTATTATTATGTGATCCTTCAAGAGACAATATACAGAAATCTTACAGATCCATGACACTAAAATTGATAAAATATATTGTGATTTTTTTTAACCATTATGTTTTAGAGAGGAAAACTCTGAATTTGTGAACCATTCAATTCATAATTTTTTATAGTTACTTCTTTTGATTAATGCCATTTTTTAGCATTAATCAAGCATTTCTTGAACAACATAAGTAACATTATACCTTAAGTTTAATATGACCTAAAATATCTAGAACTCAGAGAATGTAAGACTTACAAATGACTAAGAAAACAGATTAAAATACTGATAGTGATAGAAAGGATAGGTTAATGATACAACTTATTAATCAAATGATGTCTACTACCTGATTTCTATAGTATATATCTGTCCTAAATATAAGAATGAAACATATGCACTTTGCTCAGACTGACTGTTCTACATAACTAGATATAAAGAAATATCCTTATCCCGGGGGACACAAACGGATGTTCCGGAACCCCCTCTCATGGTGGGACCCGAGGCTGGGGTGAGTTCCCAGAAGAACAAAACCAAAAGCCCTAAGGAGGTGACTTACTTACCTTCAACAGGAAAAGCCTCACTGCGCCAAGAAGAGCCACTGGCATGGTTCATCAGCTGCTTTTATTTGCGGCTGGGAGCAGCGCCGGCAGATGACATCATCAAAAACTGCTGCCCAGTGGATTTAAAAGCTGGCGGCAGGGAAACAGCGGGGACAGCGGCTAAGCCTGGGATAGGAGGTGAAGCTGATTCCCAGGCTACTGGGTTGCAGAAGCAACAGATTGGCGGGGGACCAGGCAGGGACTCACCAGAGGGGTCCGTACTCCCCTGAAGGATAAACACCCGTTTCAGCAGGGCAGCCGGGCCAAGGAGGACAGCGTTGAGGGATCCCAATGACTAGAGATGCTGGAGCCATGAGTGGGGTGGGCTGAAGCCCAAACCCCTGCTGTTCTTTTTCTTTTCTCTTTGTTTTACGTTAGTACCCTGAAGGGCACCCAGAGCCCGAACTGGGGAAGGCATCCCCAATTGACCCACAGGGTCAAGAAGAGGCACGGAGGCAGCCCCATCGAATGTGACGTCCCAAAGATAAGGCCCAAGCAGATGTTGGGACAAGACTGGTCCCAAACCCATAGACACCCTGGGCAAAGACAAACACCGAGGGTCGGGCAAAAGGGGGCAAGAGCAGGAGCGAACATCAAGGAGACAAGCCGGCAATCTATCACCTGGTCGTCCTGAAGGCTGGTGTATGGCTGGGATGTAGGGGAGGTGGAGCCTCAAGAACGCCCACAAGGGGCAGCACCCAGTCCACAAGTTTCCACAAGGGAGAGTCCCACTACTGAAAGGAAGATCAAGTCGTAGCAGGAAAGTGTCGGGGCCTCCCTTGGGGTTGAATGCAGCCCAACACCCAAGTCTTGGTGATACACCCCGAGGCCTGAACTGCGCATGCGCTCTAAGGCTGCTAGAGAGCTCCTATACCAAATCCGGCAGGTGCAATCTTAAGACTTCATCTCCTCGCTAAAATAGATTAAAATGCTCTAAATTGCATGATTTTTTTTAATATAATAATTTAACCGATTATGGAAGTTAATAGATTCAGGTAAACTCATCTTATAAATTCTTGTTGACTTCATGTTGTTTTGTTTAGAAATACCTGAAATAAAATTTTGAAAGAGTTGAGTGTCAGGAATTAGGGCTGTGCAAAGCTTCAGTTGCCGATTCAATTCGGCCCGATTTGGTGGCCGAATCTCCAAATCTGATTTGAATCAGGAGACCCTTTAATCTCTCTGAATCAAATCAGAACCCTCCGAATCGATTCAGAGAGGTTCAGAAAAATTCTACGATTCGGACACAGACACAGCTTTATATGTTTTTTCTATGTACTGCAAGGTACCAGGCAGTTTGTGAATGCTGAGATGGTGGGGCAGAGGAAGTGTCCCACAAGAATGTGGGGGGTGTCCCCAGTGCACTTGGCAGCAGACCCAGAAGAGGCCCAGAAGGACTTCTGGTCCACTTCTGGGTCCGCGCCAAGGGCCCCCCCCAGGCTCGGTGACTGGTGCCTCCTGAGTCTGGGGTGGCACCTGGGGTCCCCCTGCAGCTGATCGCCACTTGGCAGTGCATGTGGAAGTGGACCAGAAGTACTTCCGATCCACTTACAGGTTTGCCACTGAGCACATGGGGAGGCTCCCCCACACTCCTGTGGGATGCTCCATCTGTCCCAGCATCTCAGTGTTCACGAGCCGCACCTGGTACCTCAAGGTACGTAGAAAAAACATTTAAAGCTGTGTCTATGGCCGAATCCCTGATTCTCTGAATCAGCATCAAATCTTCAGATTCAGATTCAGCCAAAGAGGATCGGGGACAGTGATCCAAAGCAACAAATCAAATCACTTTCCCTGATTTGGGCTGAATCCAAATCCAAATCGAATACGGCCCGTTTCGCATACCCCTATCAGGAATACTTTATCTGAAAAGCTTTGGACATAGTATGGTGTTTTTTGGTAGTTTTAAGCCTGTTCTGCTTCAAAAAATATTTAAATTTAAATTAAAAGAAGATAAACCACCAATACTTTGGGGTTTGACCCAAGACTTTGGTCCCCTAGTTCAGGCAACAAAACCAATTATTAGCATAGTTATTCTGTCAAATGCCATATACATGTTCTTATGGCAATCGGCAAAACATGGCTAATAATACAAATTCTTTAAGTAAGAACCTGGGTGTACTCCAGCTTGGAAGTCGAAGTGTCATCCAAGCTGATTGTGAAGTGATGGCAATCACTGTCATGGGCAGTCTTTGCTTATGGTATCTCAACCTTGACTGTCTATACTAGCCAATTATGGTCAGTCTAGCAGTTGTATAACCTCTGCTTGTAAAGCCATGGCTCGAATTGGGCTAGAAACTGTTGTTATGGTTGGTTGGATGGAATTATGTTATGTGTATAGAATAAGTGACATGCATCTTAGGAAAGAATTGTGTGGGTTTGTCTTGCCTTTTTGCATTAGAATTGAATCTCTTGCTCAGCTCTGTGGGTGAACAGAAAAAATCCTAGAATGTTCTAGTCTGTAAAATCACTGGCAGGACATTTGTGTCACTGAATGAACCAAGTTCCCCAAGCAGTCCAGCATGTAGAAAACCAGTTAATACTGCAGAGTTTAATTCATTCTGGCCAGAAAATGTTGACCAGTCTTGGCTATTAGCGCCATCCTTTTGTTAAGGTGTTGCTACTATAAATAGTTGTGGTACAACACGGCACACTCAGAATGAAGTGAATGGAAAGGGACCATTTGTGAGGCTACCAGGCAATACCAAAAAAAGAGGTAAATAAATTATTAGTTCTAAGAAATATTAACTAAAATGCATAAAATCAATACCATATGGTCCTTCTGAAAACTTTGAACATGAAGAATATGAACAGTAGCAGCAGTCACGCATTTCTAAGCCTTGTAGTACTATTTCATATTTTGTCTTTGCAAATAATAGAGCTATGAGGTAAGCTTTATGCAGCTTGAGGGGTTAACGTTTCTATACATTACGTACTTTGTTTTCATGAATGCCCAATAGTACACCTTAAGGCATCTACATATAACAAAAAATAATAAACAAAAATATATTGGCATGAATTAAAGTACATTAGGTTTTCAAAACGTAGTGTCAGTGCAAAGCCATAAAGTTCCACAAAGCACGCTATCTGAAATTAAAATATATTGATTTACATAAAAATATATACTGGCTTCCTTTCCACCCCATCTACTTCTGCTAAACTGGAAGTTTCACATCTTAACTCACTAAATGAAATCCATTACCCTTGAAAATGTAGATGCAACTTCCAAAATAATTTAAGTCACTGCTGTCATCTAATTCACTGGAGATTGTAAAAAGGCTTAACAGAAATTCATGAATTTCTGAATTACTGCATCAAACTCAGTAGAAAATAGGCTTTTCATTACTTAATGATTAAATTACCTTCCAAAAGTTATTATAGGATGCAGTTATTTTTTAATATTAATTGGACAAATGCATTATTCAGAGGATCTGTAGCTTCTTGAGACCTGGTTGCCAAGTGTAAAGAAAGGTCACGCTACTCTGAATGATGATTCCTCAGTCACTGCACCAGAAAGAAGAATGGTTGTTGGTTATGATACTGTATTGGGACTCCAGATATTGGGGTTCGCATCTTTTCCATAACATAGTCATCCTGTATGATATTGCAAAAATCTGTAGCTCAGTTAAAGGCTGTGATATGAGGCTTATATTTACTTTTCTCTGCCACTATTCTGTCTAATCTACTCAACCCTCTAGTGAAGGAATGTACAGTTTTTCCTTACTGAGTGTCCAATCAATGCACAATTGGGTCTTCTCTAGACAATACCATAATTAACATAGGACCACATTTATATGTTGGTTATTGGTCTCACTGGTCCAAGTTCAGCACTGACTTTGCATGAAAGCCTGTGAAATATAGGATGCAAGTCTCTCACTGAATGTGCTTCCTCATTTGCATCCTCAGTTGAAGATTCAGTCTTCCAGCAACAGAACATATGAAAGGCACAGAATGCTGACTTTCCCCAAATATATAAGGGCTGATAAGGAAACAT